ACTCATATGAGAACTTTAAGAGACAAAACAGATGAACCTAAGGGAAGGGAAGCAAAAATAATATAAAAACAGGGAGGGGGACAAAACATAAGAAACTCTTAAATGTAGAGAACAAACAGAAGGTTGCTGGAGGGGTTGTGGGAGGGGGAATGGGCTAAATGGGTAAGGGGCATCAAAGAATCTACTCCTGAAATCATTGTTGCACTATATGCTAACTAACTTGGATGTAAATAATAAAACAACAACAACAAAACTACTGAACAATTAGAACAATTACCCAAAATAAAAATATACTTCCATATACCAAAAAAATCATCAAATTAAAATTATTCTTACATATTTAAGCAAGAAAATAAATTATAGTATTCAATTATAACCCCCCAAAATAAATATCTGTCAGTCCATACATCTACAAACATATTTGTTTTTTGGTTTTTTTTTAAATGATTGTTTTCCATGTAGAGGATTTTAAGTTTATTTATTCTTTTTTATTAAAAAAATTGTTTTAACCTTTATTTTTGAGAGAAAGAGACAAAGCTCAAGCGGGGAAGGATCAGAGAGAGAGACACAGAATATGAAGCCGACTCCAGGCTCTGAGCTGACCATGAGATCATGACCTGAGCTGAAGTTGGATGCTTGACCTTGGATGCTTAACCGACTGAGCCACACAGGTGTCCCTATTCATTTTTAGAGAGAGAACAAGAAGGGGAGGGGAAGAGAGAGCGGGAGAGAGAGAGAATTCCAAGCAGGATCTGAGCAGTCAGTGCAGAGCTCCACATGGGACTGAAACGCAGAAATGGTGAGACTATGACCCCAGCTGAAACCAAGAGTTGGTTGCTCAACTGACTGAGCCACCTAGGTGCCCCTAAAAATACATATACGAATGAATGAATGAATGAATGAATGAATGAAAAGTAAATACAAGAAAGAGACAGCTCTTCTTTACAATCAACAAACATAAAAGGAATGACAGAAATAGAAAATCACCTGTAGATCACCACAGTAATAATTGTTGCATGAAAAACCAAACTCTGTGCTCTAAAATTATACCAATAGGTAAAAGTTTGAAAACAAACAGAATACTTTCAGCGTGTCAAAATATCTCTCCCAAGATGTTTGTTAATTACAATGGGAAAGAGTAACTTTATAATAAATCCAGCAGATATCACTTAATGAAGTGACTAGGGTTAACATCACCAGCAGCAAGACATATTGACATCATGTGTACTTTGATATGATTTATGTTTTGTTAAGGCACACTCGTTTTAAATATATATATTTTAATGTTTATTTTTTAAAGAGAGAGAAAGAGAGATTGAGACAAAGCACAAGCGGGGGAGGGACAGGGAGAGAGGGAGACACAGAATCCAAAGCAGGCTCCAGGCTCTGAGCCATCAGCACAGAGCCTGACACAGGGCTCAAACCCAAGAACCACAAGATCATGACCTGAGCCGAAGGACACTTAACCAACTGAGACACCCAGTCACCCCAAGGCAAACTGGTTTTCAAGAGAGAGAAAATTTTATACAAGTTTTCTTCTAATATTTTAGAAATAGCTCCTGCTCTTCTTTTTAAATTTTTTAAAAATTTTAATTCCAGTAGAGTTAACATGGTGTTCCATTAGTTTCGGGTGTACAATATAGTGATTCAACAATTTGATACATTACTCAGAGCTCATCGGGATAAGGGTACTCTTTTTTTTTTTTTTTTTAATTTTTTTTTACGTTTATTTATTTTTGAGAAACAGCGTGAGACAAAGCCTGAGCGGGGGAGGGGCAGAGAGAGAAGGAGACACAGAATCCGAAGCAGGCTCCAGGCTCTGAGCTGTCAGCATAGAGCCTGATGCGGGGCTTGAACTCACAAACTGTGAGATCATGACCTGAGCCGAAGTCGGACGCTCAACCCTACCTGAGCCACCCAGGCGCCCCTTTTTTTTTTTTTTTTTTTGGGATAAGGGTACTCTTAATCCCTTTCACCTATTTCACCTATTCCCCTACCCACATCCCCTCCAGTAACCATTAGTTTGTTCTGTATAGTTAAGAATCTGTTTCTTGGTTTGTCTTTTTTTTCCCTTTGTTTGTTTTGTTTCTTAAATTCCACGTATGAGTGAAATCATATGGTATTTATCTTTCTCTGACTGACTTATTTTGGCATTTGTTTTTTAAAAGTCTTTAGGTTATTGGGAACTTAGTGGACAGCAATTGTAAGACAGTCTAAATCTGTTTAATTTTCATAGTCACCCACTGAGAAAATGGGTCAATAAAAAAAAAAAGAAACCACTCTAGATATCTTTCACCATCTCCAGTGAATTCAAATTTCAGTAAAATTAACAGAAATGTTATTTGAAATTCATTACACTTGTAAGAAGGAATGAAATATTTACATCCTCTTTTGATGAAAAAAGAATGATCTTTAGTATCTTGAGCAAGCCACCTTCAAACTAGTTTCCATAAAAATTAAAGGCAAAAGTAATATCAGGTTTATGTCCAAAAGCATCAAAAAGCCACAAAAACAAAAATAAAGAATACATATTTTTCAATTATCCATAAAACATAAATGAACATTGATAATTAGGCCAAAGAAAAAATATCAATTTCAAAAGGTAGAAATATTTTATTTTCTGATTACAATGCAATAAAGCTAGAAATTAATGACCAAATCAGAAAAAAAATTCCTTTATTTTGAAGATTTAAAAATTGTCTTAAAAAATTTTTTTTAAATGTTTATTAAATTTTGAGAGACAGAGCATGAGTGGGTGGAGGGGAAGAGAGAGAGGAAAACACAGAATCCGAAGCAGGCTCCAGGCTTTCAGCTGTTAGCAGACAGCCTGACACAGGGCTCAAACCCACAAACCACGAGATCATGACCTGAGCCAGAGTCAGATGCTTAATTGACTAAGCCACCCAGGCACCCTGATTTAAAGACTATCTTAAATGATGGTTTGAGTCAAAGGGGAAAATACCAACAGAAGTTGGATCTTAACAGGGAGAATGAAGGCATAAGGGCAATTGCTAGCCTCTGTAATATCATTTTGTTTCCAGTTTATTTACTTTGAAAGAGAGAGCAGGAGCAGCAGAGAGGCAGAGAGAGAGGGAGAGAGAGAGAGAATCCCAAGCAGGTTCTGCACTGTCAGCGCAGAGCCTGATGCAGGGCTCAAACTCACGAACCATGAGATCATGACCTGAGCCGAAACCAGGAATTGGACACTTAACCTACTGAGCCACCCAGGTGCCCTCTGTATGATATCATTGTATGAATTAGAAAAGGTGCTCCTTCTTCAAGTAGAAAAGAAAGACCAACACTGCTGCATCTGTGGATGGTCATGAGGCAGTGTCTCAGAGCCCAACTGCCTAGAGATGTGCATGAAGCTCGGGGAAATTAAAGTCAGAGTGAGTTGGTAGCTATGAAAGAAAAAAACATAAATTTCTTTCCTCTAATAAAATAAAACCCACCTACAAGAGCATGAATTTTCCCTTAAGACTGGATGCAAACTTCTAGTTAGTGAAGTGCTTGCTAGAAAGATTTTGAAGGCGAAGAGAAAGTCTCACATAAGGAATGTTTCTTTTGAATTTAATATTCTCAAGGTTCTGATTCCTAGGAACAAAAAGACAAGAATGCACCAGGTTTAATCCATTTCAGTTACTTTTCTATAGCCCACTACAGGATCTAGTTGTTTCAAATGCTTTAGATAAATTATGCTATTTTTAGCAAGTTCTTGTGAAAAGTAATGATCAAAGTTTTATATCACCTGTAAATGAATCAGGAACAAGTGTATAAGTCTGTCTTAAAGGATGCCTATTTTTGAAGCTAAGAAAAGTCCCAGTTTGTAATTATGTTAAGGAACCATTCAGATATTCTCTTTTTACTGCAGTGGATTTTTTTCTTTTTTCTTTTCTTTTCTTTTCTTTTTTTTTTTTTTTTTTTTTTTTGAGAGAGAGGGAGCATGCCAGTGAGCAAGGGGAAGAGGAAGAGAGAGACAGGGGAGGTGGGGGGACGGGGAGCAGGGCTCACTTGATGCAGGGCTTGTGTTTACCTGAAGCAGGGCTCTTGCTCACCTGATGCAGGGCTTGTGCACACCGCAAGCAGGGCTCAAGCTCACCTGAAGGGGGGGGCTCAAGCTCACTCATCGTGAGACCAGAACTCACAAAAACATAGATCATGGCCTGAGCCGATGTCAGATGCTCAACAACTGAGCCACCCGGGCACCCCTGGAATATTTTTGAATGCAGCAATTCCATTTCTCGATTTCTCTAAACTCACGAAGACATGCAGCACTTTTTGGGTTCTATTTTGTACGGACAGCTTTGTTTTATGGTAGTATCTCTCCTAGGAGCAATAAGGTTCCAAGATGCTATGAAAGTCCATGGAGAAGTTTTCACACCATGCACTTAGGTGGTAAAAAAAAAAACAACAAAAAACAAACAAACAAACAAACAAAAAACCATGCTGCAGTTGAGTTTGGGTTATAGGTAGTAGAGATGAGGTTGGGAGGTCATAGAATACAGTTAGAATGAGTTGAATAAAAACCTAGAAAAGTAGGGAATTTTGGAAAGGACTGGCATAAAGGTCTTTCTGGGATGAGGAGTAGGTGTAACTCAAGATAGATTTTGATTCATGAGTCATTGGGTATGGGGGTTAAGAAGTTTCTATTGTGACAAAAAGAAACAGAAGCTGGAGATAGGCCACAATAGTGCAGTGACAGAATAAAGACCTGGTTGCTAGGGTCAGGGAATGAACACTAGAAGCCTGGAGAAGGGGAGATGGACCCTAGCTCCTGGTCCCCTTACTCACCTTCCCTCTCCCCTAGGTCATCTGAGATGTCACCTTCCACTTAAACATCATCTCCCTGGTTTGAGACCTTAGCTCTGGTCTCTGGACTTCTGGTTGGTTTTGTATTTCCTACCCATTTGCACAGAGGACCACCACCTTCCCTTCCTGGAATTTCTAAGGTTTTCTGCTTGCCACATGCTGTAATCACCAGCCCTACTAACTCAGCTGAGATGGAAGTGTCCGCCCTCTCCAAAACTCTTAAACCTACTCCTGATCTCAATCAAGAGTCCTCGGGTCCTCGGATTATCATTGCCTTATTCGAAATTGGATCCCTTCCCCCTGTCTCCTGGGGTTCTCTCCCTTCCCTAAATAGTAGTGGTCATCAAGTAACTGAACAACAGACTGCACAAAAGTTTGAAAATCTCTTAAAAGAAATTAAAGACATCATTAAAAGTGTCACAAGTTGTGGAGAGAAGATCACAGAAACAAAAGATTCTTTTGAGGAAACCAGTATTTCTGAGGATGTGTCAGAACTTAAAGAAAAAATCAGAGAACTTGATAAGATAAATAAAGTGTTATTGAAAAACTTGCTTGGTAGTTCAGACCTAGAGAAAGAACAGAATGTAAAGAAACAGGAGATGATATTGGAAAACCAGAATTCCAAGGACATGGTACAAACTTTTGGAAAGGATTTGGTAAGTCATTCAGAAGAAAACAGACCCCTTAATGAAACTCAATTAAGCAAGGAAAAAGCAAATTACAGACACCATCATATTCAAGAAGAAAACATCAAACTTAGGAGCAACATGGAGCAGTTACTACAGGAAGCTGAACACTGGAATGTGCAACATACTGAGCTTAGTGAACTAATAAGATCATATCAGAAATCTCAGAAAGACATACAAGAAACTCTTGAAAATAATGGAGTGCATTTCCAAACTCAACCAAATAACGAGGTGTCAGCTAAGCATGAACTGGAGGAACAAGTGAAGAAACTGGAACATGACACATATTCATTGCATTTGATTGCAGCTTTGCTGGAAAATGAATGTCAAATCTTACAGCAGAGAATAGAGCTTCTCAAGGAACTCCATCATCAGAAAGAGGGAACTTGGCGAGAAAGTCCAATTCAGATAAATTGTGAACAAGACAAGAAAAAACAGAAACTATCAGAAACAGAGTATAAGGAAAAAATGCAAGGAAGAGATGGTACATCTCAGAAAAAACACAAAGTCTACAAAAGCCTGGATGCTTGTAGTAAGAAAGCTCTTAATAACCGCTTCAATACCCATATTGCAAGAAGAGATCTTGTGGGAAAAAAGAGGCCATCCAGCAGCCTAACTTAGAAAATACAAAATTAGAAGAAAAGACAGTTCTTCAAAAACTGTAATACATCAACTCCAGGCATAACCAATCAGCACACCTAGGATAGATCTGTTGGTTCAACCAAGAGCAAGCTGTAGAACAAGAGGATTAACACGTTATTCATTACCTTAGTACTTACATGAGTTTGGTCTTTCGTGACCTTTATTGTCAACAACAAGTTCATAACCTGTCATACAATTTGCTTGTTTTGTTGTAGTTATTAGAGATTCTATGCCCCGTTAACCAAGAAGGAGAAGTTATCAATCCAATCTAAATAAAAACAAGAATGAGCAATGAAAAGTTTTTATTTTCTTTAATCATTTACTGGGTAAGGGGAGTTTTCTTGGGAGGAAGTATATAACACTTTAATTGCGAACCTTTAAAGCTCACTTTTTAAAGCCATGTTTCCTTTTCTTAGTATCTATTGAAGTGTGGGAAGTAGTGAAGTAAAGAAGCAAAAAAAAAAAAAAAAAAAAAAAAAAAAAAAAAAAATGCTGATAAACCACCCCAGGACAGTTTTTCTCTTCTCGTAAATCTCCACATTCCCTAACACTATTTTTTCTAATATTCCTCCCTTGATCCTCCACCGGTGAACAGTGGGCATACCAAGCAGCAGAGGCCTTAGGTGAAGGATACTTCAGTTGGTTTAGAAGAATAGATACTTATCTGGATTTTGTTCTGTGCTGGCAAAATGCTTTCCACTCCTCCAGGTAGGGGCAGTAGAGTTACCCAGGGGAAAAAGCTGTAGCTTCTGTTAAGGGAGCTGGACTTCTGGTTCCAGGAAAAATAGAGCACGTGCATTTCTTCCTCTTCTATTAAGTATGCTAAAAACCCTGTACATTATGTATAAAATGAATATATGAAGATTCTGAAATGGAAAGAATGAGATGGACTATCCAGAGACCCTGAGACTTAAGGAACAGCATGGTATTGAATTTCCCGGGTTTTCTTTCTATCTCGTATATCCTGGAAAGAATGTTGGAGGAGCCACAACCCAGAAATGCCAATGTACTTACACAAAAAAAATGTTCCTTTTGCCTGCTCTCCCTTGGCAAAGGATGAGGAGAGAGACAGTCTTGGACAGGAAAAGGAGAGGAAGGGGACTCTAGCCAAATTGCATGGAAAATGCCATGTCTCCACCCTCACCCCACCAGTAAATACTGGGTGGCAAGCCTAGACTTTCACCTTTGCCTGGTGGTAATGAGGCACTCCTCCCCTTTTCTTCTGGGATGGTACAGAAGAAGCAGAGTGGGGACTCTGAAGTCCTACCTCCACTTCATGGTAACACTGTGGTCCTCCCCAACCCCCTCCTCCAGTGGATTAGAATGTCATGGAGGCCTTATGCTGCTTTTTTACGCAATTTCCCTGCTGGCACAGCATCAGAAGAGGCCTGCTAAAACAGACGGTTTAATAAGATCCAGGGTGTCATAATAAAATGCTAGAATGTCCTGAATACATAGAAAAATCATTAATTATACCAAGAACCAGTAAAATTTCAATTTGAATGAAAAAAGACAACAGATGCCAACATTGGGATGACATAGATGTTGGAATTATCAGATAAGGATCTTAAAGCAGTCATTATAAAAATGTATCACTGAGCAATTATGAACACGTTTGAAACAAATGAAAAAATAGAAAGTCTCAACAAATAGAAAATATAAAGAAGAAACAAATGGAAATAGTTGTAAAATAAACTCACTGGATGGGCTTAATAGTAGAAGTTGATGTCAGAGGAAAAATTCCATGAAACTGAGGATAAAATACCCATTGTGAACAATGGAGAAAACAGGATGAAAAGAAAAGAGTTTCAAGAACCTGTGGAACAGTAACAAAAGATCTGACATTGGTGTCATCAGAGACACCTCCCAAAAGGGGCAGAATGTGACATGAAAAAGTATTCAATGAATATACGGCTAAAAATCCTCCAAACTTAGTAAAAGGCATCAAGCTACAGATTCAAGAAACTGAGTGAACTCCAAATAGAATAAACTCAAAGAAATTTGAGGCACTCAAATTTCTGAAACCTAAAGACAAAGTAAAAATTTTTTTTTTTTTTGTAATTTTAAAATGTTTATTTTTGAGAGAAAGAGAGAGAGCTGAGTAGGGAAGGGGGCAGAGAGAGAAGGAGACAGGGAATCTGCTGACAGTGCAGAGCCCACTCAGGGCTCGAACTCATGAATCCATGTAATCATAACCTGATATGAAGTTGGCCACTCAACCAACTGAGCCACCCAAGCACCCCAAGACAAAGTAAAAATCTTAAATGCAATTAGAAAAGATTCATTAAACTTAGGGGACAATGATCCAAATGACAGTGAATTTCTTATCAGAAACCATGGAGGCCAGAAGGAAATGAACATATTTCAAGAACTGAAAGAAATGTGACCCAAGAATTATTTACCCAGTGAAAATATCCTTCAGAAATGAAGATGGAATCAATACATTCTCAGAGGGTAACTGAAAGAATTTGTCACAAGGTCACATCTGTCTGAAAACAATTAGAAAATGAGATTTTTAACTGGGCAACCATGTTGCCCAGGCAGAAGGAAGAATTAATTTTGGAACCATGTGAAGTATTGAGAAAATATTTTTGTATTTCTACACAGGGCTTTCTGGGAAAGTTTTGTGGAACCTTGAGATCTTGGACTAAAAGCCAGCTCTAGAAGATAATTCAGAAGACATGAATAATTAGAACTAAAAAGATGTAAGTTCGGGAAATGTGTGTTTTCTTTTCAAGTTGGGATGAAGCGTGGGACTCCAGAGATATCTCTTGAGTTATAAAACTGGAGACACTGGGCTTCTCTGGCCCCTGGAGAGATTTATTTACATTATGAAAGGGTTAGAGAGAGTACAAGGATTCTTTACATCTTGTCTTCAAGGAGCAAAGTGTTTTTCCCCCTTCTTCTAGAAGGGTAGGAAAGACAGTTGCCTTCTTTCTTACATAAATGCCTAGATTCACTTTCTCCCTTACAGTACAGACCCTATTGCCTGTAGGGTGACATCTGGTTTTCATTGTATCTCTCCAGGGATAAGAATTAAAGCAGGGAACCAGCACAATTATTATTATGTAAGTAATAATAATCTGTCTCTCATCCAAAAATGTCATGTGTATATTCAGGATTTTATAAAAATGAATGTGAAAAGCCCACAAAGACAATCACAATCTCCACCATAAATTCTATTATGAATGAAGCATAAGGAATAAGAATTTTTCATATGTTGGAAGTACTGAGTATACAATTTGAAATATTGCTTCCTACTCACAAATTTACAATCAAACAGTAGTTACTAAAAAAAATCATATTTCCTTACATTTGACTTTCCTTCAAATGGAAACTATCATCTATACTATTCTATTTTCCAACCATCTTGATTAATAAAATATGCAGTTCATTTCCATACTTTACCAGATATATGGTTCATATTGCCAAGAAAGAAATTATTGCCGAAATAAATTATAGCTTTTTAATTAAGCTTCTAATACAGCAAGTAATTTCTGCTATTTCAGACCTTCTAGATTTGGCATTAACTTTAACATTTTATATGTGTAAATGCAATTATTTTCCTACCACAATGTTGTATTTATTTTTTTGGTCCAAATCCAAAACATGCAAGTGAGAATTTCCAAAAGCAAGGCATTTTTATAGGCGTTTCATGTGGGTTCCAGTGGTAATGATCTATTCTATTCTTTCAATCAATGTCAGATTTATTTGGAGACATCTCATGGCATTTTATATGTGGAAAGAACTTTAGGGCATCACTTGTTGGCAGGGAAAAGCCAACGTGTGAAATCAGTTAAAATCTTGGACAAGAATCGGTACTGATCTAGTCCAGAGTTGTTTCACACTGTATTTTCTCATACCTGAGAATCAAATGGCAATAAATATCAAGCTACAGAACTTTAAATTTTTCTTTCTTTTTCTTTTTCTTTCTTTCTTTTTTGTTTTTTTTTTTTTTTTTT